GGGACACGGGGACCGGGAACGAACCGCCTGGAGTGACGGCTCCAGGAGAGACCCAGCAGGCTCCAGTGACAACCTCAGCGGGGGGACGCAGGGCACAGCCCGCTCCCCCAGCACGCCAGGTTTCCCAAAGAGCCTTGGTTTGGACCAGCAGGCACCTTCCTCCGGACACTCTTTGGGGTTCTAAATCGGCGAACACAACCACGTCTGCTCTAGCATCAGCAGCGTGTCCCGCTTCCAAGGTCACCAAGCCTTGGACCAACGTTACCCCTGTCATCCCCGGCACGCTCAGGAGAACGGCAGCCGAACAATCAGCTTGAGGGCAGCTGGGGAAGGCTGGCAAAGGCTAAAAAAAGTCAACGGAAGAAAGCAAGAGCATCTCCAGCCCTTGGAAAACTCCATCTTCTTGAACCTGTGTTCTTTGGTGTAGTAGCCAGTCCGCCTTGGCCGAGCAGCTAGCACTCCTTGGCATCTCTGCAGCGACAAGAACGTACTTGGAGCTTTGTTACTGCAAGTTTTGTTTAGTCTCCGGGGAGATAAGTGTGCGTGTTTTCATGGCGCTGCAGCTGTGCTGTCCCCTCTGCTCCGCCCCGGCCTCCCGGGGCCGTCAGCCTACAACCCCAGCAGGAAGGCCGAGGGGCGATACGGAGGAATGAGGAGAGGATGCCCAAGCGCCGGCTGAGTGCTCCGACCACAAACAACGGGCACGGGAAGGCTCAGCAGCACGATGGCGGCCGTTGAAAGAGGGAACTAGTCCCAGAGATGGGAAAGAAGGAAGCCCAGGGGCCTGGGTGGCAGCTGCGGGGACGTCAGGAGCCAGTTCTACAGCACTAGTGACCACAAGGATTTCTGCCAGCGCAAATACGTTCAGGCAGCAAGCTCCTGACAAGGTTACGAGGTTACAGCAAGACCTATTTGGGCTCCAGCCTTGGGGTTTAGCAACATGTGTTATCTAGACGAACCTCACGTTAAATGAAGATTCACAGGGTAGCTGCTACCTCCCATCCCTTTCCTCCTCTCCACACCGATGCACCCCTCACCCATCAGCATGGCCCCCTCAGCACCAAGAACCATATGGCCACCAAGGAGTCACAGTATACAGCAAATAACCGATTTTTAAGGGTGGGACTGCTTAAGCCCATCTAATTGTGGGCTGATGCGTTCGGGCCCCCTCCAGCTTCCCCCGCCGCATGCTGCTACCCCTTGCCTTGCGCTAGCACCAGTGTGTATGCAACCAGGCGGTGAGGCAGCCCAGGGAGTCACGCCAGCTACAAACCAGTCCCTGGTTGTGTCGGGAGAAATTAAACAGGGCAGGCCCACAGGACAGGGGAGATGTGAGGCTGAGGTGGGAGAACACAACCAGCAGGTCAGGAGGAGGCCAGGCAACGAAAACCCAAAATTAGAGCAGTTTAAGCCTCCCTGGAATTGCACCCCAACACCCGAGCAAGCATTTTGCAGGGGTAAAACCCAAAACTAAACCTGCCCTCAACAGCCATTTTCCACAGCAACTGGGCACTCGGGCATAATGGCAAGAACCGAAATGATGAGAGAGGTGACAAGACACTTCCCCCGAGACTCTCCAGGGCAGAGGAGAGGAAGAGCCTGGAGTTACGCTAGCAGTCTGCAGCGAGGAACTCAAACAGGGGCAGTCGTGGTGCACCAGTTAAAAAAACAAATGGGATCAGAACAAAACTCAACACAGGAATCCCAGGCAAGCAGCCCTCAGCTCTTTCCGGAGGGGAAAGAGACAAAAGGTTTCATAGCACCAAGTAATGCCACACAGTGGTTCAGGGCAGTAAGGAATCCCAGCTCCCGTCGAAACTCCAGGGGGAACGTAGCTGGGATGTGGCCAGGCACCATGGTCACTCTCCTCTACCTCTGCCCGTAAAGAAACAAACATGATGTCTCCCGACCGCGAGCAGTCAAGGGCGGGTTTGGGGTAGCTCACTTGCGGCTTGAAGTCCCACGCAGAACAGTGTCGGTCAAGAGGGAGATAAGCACCAAATGCGGGATCACAGATGCCGTTGGCTGCCGTGCCTGGGGACCCTTGGAGGTGACATAACCCCCAGCACATACAGAGACACCAGTGAGTTAAGCCACCTCCCAGAAGAGTTGTCACCCACTCAGGGCTTTCAAGCAGCTCTTCCCAGGCACCAGAGCTCACACCAAGGCCACTCCTGCAACTACTCCAGGCTCCTCTTTCCTCCCGACCAGATCCAATACGGGGATGAGCCGATGCTCTGCCACTACATCCTGCTGCATCTCAACCTGCTGCATCTCAACCGTTCACAATCAACAGCCGGCATCTGGCAGCACATGCTCAGGAAGGGATTGGGAGCCTCGGCTGCTACAGCCCAGCCCAAGGGGACACCGACAGGCCGAGACCCTGAGTGGAGAGTTTCTTGGTCATGGACCCAGTTCTCTGTCTGCCCACCCACCCCCAACAAGCTAAGCCTGCTTCAGGTTGTATGAGGCAGCCCAGAGTGCTCCCCCCCGCCCTTCGCAGGGCTGAGGAAGACCAGGAAAATGGGAGTGTAGGGCAAGAGGGGCATCACTACAGAGCAACCAACTGACTTTACAGAGGAGCAGCTGCCACCGAGACCCGAGGAACCATCTGTACGCATAACCATGTGCACTTTGATTCCAGCGTGAAAACTGAGCGTGCAAAGAGAAGCGGTGGCTGCAGGACCTTCCCTCTCCTCTCTCCCTGCCCTCCCCTCCTCGGCAGGCCCCCTCCCGTGAGTCACTGTCTCTGCACAGGCAAGGTGACACCTTGCCGGCCACTGAAGCCGACCAGCTGCACAGTGGGGACAGTTGTCAGGAAAGTAGCAGCAAGACCCCCGCTTGGCGTTTCTCCAGCGGAGCACTTCAGGGCTCTTGCTTCTTGGGCTCCTGCAGCAGACTCCTCCCGCTGCCAACAGGCGCCCAGCGAGAGCTCTGACCTCCACTGCTGAGAAACACCATCGCAACGAGTGGGGAACAGTTGGCTCCGGTCCTTTTGTGCAGCGCTGAGGCAGGGAGCTGGGGATAATCCCTGACTGCTGTCGGCAGGCACTCGTTGCTGGTGGCTCGTGTAACCCTCCCGGCACGAGGGGGCCAGGGAGACAACCACAGCCTCGGCCGACGAGCAGATCGGGTTCCCCACACCTCCGACGCTACCTGAGCTGAAGCTGGCTGAACCAGGAGCTGACGGCACAGTCTACACGCATCACCAAGGAGATCCCCAGCAGGAGGCAGATGCTGCTCACCACGAAGCCCAGCGACTCAAAGAGGAACCTGCAGGCACGACAGACGCAGTAAGGATATCACAGCCAGCATGCCTGTAAAGACAGGCTGCTGCCCTCACTCCCAGCAGACTGATTTTCCTGACGGCGAGAGGCTGGTAGCACCCCACATCCTAAAACCTGAATTACATTCACTCCCCGGCAGTTGCTGCCTGCAGCCTGGAAGCCAAGCACGCCTCTGGTTTAGAGGCCGTTCAGGACAACACCCAGGTGGGATTTTGAACCCCTCAGAGGCCAAGGCCACCCCACACTCCTACTAGCCCAAAGGTCTGCTAGTTTACCGTTTCTGGGTTTACCATTTCTGGTCTGGTATCCCTATCTTTGGCTTTCTGCCCTGAATATTCTTAGCTTCCAGGTGGGCTCTGTGTGTCCTTGGAAATCAAGATAAGGAGAAATTCCTATGCTCTAGCTCAAGTCCGGCTTTTGAACTTGAAGCAAAAATTAGTTAAGGACTTTCCTACAGCCTCTAACAGGTAAGAAGTCATACAAGATTGATAACATGGTCTTTTCCATCATTACTGTCTACGAACTCTAGACAAGATGTCAGAGCTATGAGCCCTAACTCAGCATCAGAGCAACTCCTGCGACTTACTTTGGGGCAAAGACCTTCCAGACCATGAGGTGCCTCCTGAGGATCATAGCTGCACAAACACAGGCCAGAAGCTGTGGGGGAGATCAGGAAAAACAAGTTACAAGTGACTCTGGAGAGACCTCCTGGGCACTAGGTTCACATCTGAAGGTGGTACTAAACTGCGCACACCTGAGAGGCTGGTACAGCACGCACCAGAAATAAGCAACCCAAAGAGGATTCCCTTCCACCGTGTCCTCGAGTCAGGAAACACAAGCGGCTTGGGGTACACGCAGGCCCTCCTGGGGCCAGGCTGGGACCGCACAGAGGAGGGCTCAAACCGCGGCTAACCTGACCTAACGTTTCACCGAGAGGGGCACTCCTGCTCTCCTGCTGCAGGGCCTGCCCCCCTCCCTTGCACTGTCTCTGGCCTGACCACACAGGAGAATGATTTGAAGGGCTAAAGCTATTCACTTCTTCCACGGGATTAGGTTTCTGATGTTTAGCTCCCTACATCACCACAGCACAGGATCAAATGAAAACCAGAGCTGGTGCAAAATAGATAGGCATGGTCAGGAAGAGGGGGAGCAGGATTACAACCCTGTAGTGTCTGAACAGACGTCGCCACTCTGAGCAGATAGGTGCGAAAAGTAGCCTAATCCATACTGTGGCTTCTGTGCTGGAGCCCTTCCCAAAGCACAGAGCAAATGGCACGCCTGAGAAGAGGACCTGTGCAGCTGCTCTTCCACCTGCAGCCAGACATTATCACCCCGGTCCTGTCTGTGCCCTGGCTGACCCCTTTCTCTCAACAGAGTGCCCCACAGCTCCCACAGCGCGCCAAGACAGCTTTCCTCACAGCCATCTCGCCTCTGCCCCTACCTGTGTCCCAAGGACAAAGAGGTACTTCAGCCCCAGCTGCAGCAGAGCAGTGGAGAACTTCTCCGGGGACTCCCGCAGCCTCATCTCCATCATGTGCTCTTCCACCTCCTGCAGCTCCTCCCGGGGCTCCTTCTTGGACTTCCTCTTCTGCAAGCTGGGCATCTCACATACAAAGGGCCAAAGCAGGAGCAGAGGGCAGCCGACTACCTCAAGGACAAAGGCACATGAAGTTACTGGAGCCCAGGAGGTGAGAAGCAGTCTAGGCTCTGCCATCATGCCCTGGACATGCAGGATGCATATACGCCAGCTCCAGTTTGCCGGTCAAGCACAACTGCATGGAGGCTGCAGGCCATGGGCAGCTCTGTGGCCCCAGAAGGGGACAGTGAGGATGCTGCTGTTCAGCTGGTGCCGGAGCCTTCATCGCCTCGTGCTCAGCCTGCAGGCCTCCAGACAAGGCAAAGCAGCGAGCCATGTCTGCTCAGGCTCAACAGCCCAGGAAGAAATTGATTTACCTGCAAAGAGGATATGGGAGGCAAAGGTGTTGGCGCCCACCAGGACAGCAGGCAGGAGGTTCGTGCTGTGGTCTAGGTGGAAGCCCACAAAGGCTGCGTTCCAGTGGATGGCCGGGAAGATGGGCTGGTGGCCTGTGGAATAGAAGAACTGGGAAGCAGCAAGGAGCCAGGAGATGACTGCGTACCAGGGCACTGAAAAAGGAGCTGAGAGATTTGGGGGGGGGGGGGGGGGACAGAGAGAGAGAGAGAGAGATCAGCATTGAGGAACAAGACAGATCTACGGACAAAAAAAGCCTATTGGGTTTTCTTCCAGCTTCCCTTTCCATGCTCTCTCTTCTGACAGACCGAAACCAGTCAGGCTCCCACCAGAGGACACAGTGAGGGGCCAGGCATACCCTCTGCTGCCCGCCCTGCTACTGGACTCTGTCAGTAGCAGTGGGGTTCAGTGGCTGCTCGCACTCTGGGGAGAAGGGATGGGTGTAGAGCCCCCTTCCCTGACACTAGGGACTCCTCCTCCTCCCAAGTTGCGTCCCTGCTGCATGCATCTCTCTTCTATTAGAGGATTTAAGCAGTTCTAAAAAAGCTAGGAGGATCCTCTGGGGATCACTGCACCACCATTCCCCAAGAGCAGAGACTGGGCTCTGCTTCTCCCACTGGAAATAAGACAAGCTCGCTGCAGATAAGGCCCAGGTCGCACATCTGGAGGATGCTCTGTTGAGCCTTGACTCACCAGCGTCTCCAGCAAGGCCTCTGGCACGCGTGTGGATGTGCAGCAGCATGAAGGCCTCCAGGAAGAGGAGAAGGAAGGCGAGACTCAGCCGCTCACTGTGCAGAAGCATCAAGAGGAAGCCCAGCAGGGTGAGCGCTATGACCAGGGCTGCCGAGTACACGCTGCCCAGCCCGTACGCTGCGACAGTGGCCTTGCAGCTGCCCCGCTCCAGGCGGCTCTTCTGAGACTCCTGCATCCTCTTGTAGATCTGAGGGATGACGTGGAGGAAGTCAGCTTCAGAGCTAGGAACCCCCAGGTAGGGAGTGACGATGGATCCTGCCGACTCCCGCGTGTCCTTCGCGAACACCGTCATGGGATTGCACAGCAGGAGCAGCAGCCCCACGGACGCTAGTCCGTAGACAGCCCACGGAAAGGCAACAACTGCCACCTGCACCAGCTCCTGCAGCTTGCCGAGAGAGTCATCAGCGCTGGAGGCAACGGCCCAGTAGCAGGCAATGCAGACGACCACCAGTGGGAAACCCCAGCGCACAAAGAGCACGAGGGGGTCCGAGCTGTTGGGGTTGCCGTAGTGTCGCAGCCAGCTCCGCACCGCATAGACCAGCCCGGCCAGCAAGGCCACGCACAGGAGGTAGAAGAGGTTCTTGGCCCGTGTGTTTCTCAGGCTGGCAAGGGGGGAGAGGAAAAGAGAGGGCCGGCACTGAGGGATTTCTTCACGGCACTGGTGGAAGAAACCAGAGAGGCGCACGCAGACCAGGAGCATGGCCACGAGGCACAGCAGGTACCAGATCTCCCTCCGGTAAGAAGAAAAGCCAAGGAGCTGCTGCTTGGGGCCTTCTGGCACAGTCAGGCGACCGTCCCAGTGGAGCTTCCCTACTAGCAACATCACCAGTGAGGCCAGCAGGAACGGGGCCACCCGGGCCTCGGCCACCACAAAGCTATCGGAGAACATAGCTCCGCAGCGGAAGAGGAGAATGCCCATGGGGAAGGCCAGCCCCAGCCACGCTCGCAGCCTCTGCCTCAGGCCAACGCTGGCCAAGGGTGGCTGACTGCCCGCCAAACGGGCTCGCTTGGGATGCCGGCCCCACCAGTGCCAGAAAAAACCCAGCTGAGAAGCTGCAGCTGCCCATGACGACACCAGGAGGAGATCCAGCCCCTCCTGGGTGAGCACACGGGCCAGCCCCAGCAGAACAGCCACCACCGAGCCCCAAAGCAGTGGGTACAGGAGGCAGCTGCGATAGAAAGAGTCCGATGCTGCAGCCAGCTCTGAGGCCATGTAGCAGAGCAAGCAGGAAGCAGCGATGAGGGTGCAGCCCCCCACCATACGCAGGGGATGGAAGCGGGCCCAGGACTGGGTGCACACAGCCCGTGCCTCCCGCAGGTAGAGCTGGAAGCGACCGATGAGGCTTCCCAGCCTGGACTCCAGCTCCGGAGGCACCAGCGTCACTCCCTGCACCTGGGCCAAGAGCCGAGAGTGCTCCTCCACGGCGCTGGAGAAGAGCTCCTGCAGGCGCTGGAGCTGCTCTGCTGGCAGGTCCTGAGCCACCAGCGAGTAGGAGTGCAGGAAGCGGTCCACCTACGAGAGAGGGGACACAGGGTCAGGCAGTGGCACTGGGACCACCGGGAACGGGATTCACTGCCTTCTTCCTCACGCAGCCCCTTCAGAATGGGAATGGCCTCAATCTGCCAACCCCTGCCAGGACACACCCGTCCCCAGCCACACCACCCGGGGCTGGTCACCCGGATTCAGGATGTGACTGGCAGGAAACATAAGCCTTCTGCCAAAGTGACATCCCTCTCAAGTGACATATCCATCCCGACAGCCACACTGACTCCTCTCAGTTCTTCACCTGTAGGTGCACCTCTGGTAACACTGTGCATCACTATGGGCTTTTATGCAGAGCCTTTGGTAACAATAAGGCAAACTTCCCCCAGAACTTCGAGTCATTGCTAGCTATTAATCTGCACCTGATGTCGACTTCTACATTGTTTGTCTGAGGACAGACATCAAATTAAAGAGCTTATAGCGGATCAAATCAAACTGCTCCCTCTTCTTCAATACAGGCACATCAACCCACTGTACCACAGGCTAAGGAGAGTTCATTCTGCTTCCTACTTCAAGAGGACAGGAACAGAGGCAACTATGATCCCAAAGTCATAAAAAAAGTCTTACAAGGGCATTACCAGGGCAGGGCACCCACACAAACATCCAGCTGCTCAGCAGCACAGATCTGCTCAAGCCCTGAAACACACCGAGACCTTCACGTGCCTTCCAGCCGCTTCAGATCGCAGGCAGAACCAGCCCGCCCCTGCCCACGAATGGCAAACATACGCACCAGCTCTCTCCCAGGCCTGCACGACCTCCCCGCTATGCAAAAGCTTCTTCAACACCAACGTGATCGCGCCAGAAACCTCCTCAGACAAACGACTGCAAATATGCAGGGCTACGACCTTACTGGCATCACGGAGACGTGGTGGGACGGCTCCTGTGACTGGAGTGTTGGGATGGAGGGATACAGGCTCTTTAGGAAGGACAGGCAGGGGAGACGAGGAGGGGGTGTTGCCCTCTATGTCAATGGCCAGCTGGAGTGCATGGAGCTCTGCCTGGGGATGGATGAGGAGCCGACGGAGGGCTTATGGGGGGGGCAGGGACAGGTGACATTACGGGGGGGTCTGCTACAGGCCACCCGACCAGGAAGACAGAGTGCATGAGGCCCTCTGTAGACAGACAGGAGCAGCCTCACGCTCACAAGCCCTGGTCCTCACAGGGGACTTCAACCACCCCAACATCTGTTGGAAGGACAACACGGCAGGGCATAAGCAACTCAGGAGGTTCCTGGAATGAGTCGATGATAACTTCCTTCTCCAAGTGGTAGAGGAGCCAACGAGGAGAGGTGCTATGCTGGACCTTGTTCTCACTAGCAAGGAGGGGCTGGTGGGGAATGTGAAGCTCAAGGGCAGCCTGGGCTGCAGCGACCACGAAATGGTGGAGTTCAAGATCCTTAGGGCACCGAGGAGGGCGCACGGCAAGCTCACTACCCTGGACATCAGGAGAGCAGACTTTGGCCTCTTCAGGGATCTGCTTGGTAGAGTGCCATGGG